GCGTGGGGGGGGGGTATGGGAGGCCCCCCCCAGCGTGTTCTCCGGTGGACCTGGAAGTCGACCAGACGTGCTTTTGGTGCACTTCCAGGTCTGCTGCCAAACGTTCTGGGGACTCTTCCCTCCCCCCCCCCCCCCGTGTTTCTGTGGGATGCTCCATCCACCCCAGCATTGCAGCATTCACGAGCTGCCTGCTACCTTGAGGCATGTAGGAAAAAATAACATTTAAAGCTGTGTTTATATCCAAATAACCTAATCTGAATCGATTTGGAGGGTTCTGATTTGATTCAGAGAGATTAAAGGGCCTCCTGATTCAATTCAGATTCAGAGATCTGGCCATTGAATTGGACTGAATCTCTGCCAAATCCAGTCGGGGACTGAAGCTTTGCACAGCTCTACTGGGTACTCATTAGGTGGTGGCTCCTCTGCCCTCAGTAGAAGCTCACTCAGCAACAATCCTTCTGTCAGTAGTCCTCTCAGAAGCAATTATCCTGGTAGCAGCCTCCTCAGAAGCAGCTCTTCTCAGCATAGTTTCAACTACCCTCTCCCCAGCCAGTCTCTCCCTGTGTTTTCCCCTAGGCTTCCTGCCCTGGAGTTACAGCTGCCCAATCACGTGCATGCATTCTGTGTGCACAGCCTACTGCAGATCCTTGTCCCAAGAGTGCAAACACCCCTATTGAGCTTGCAAGCTCTTAGGAAACCCTTCGGCACCTTTACACTTATACCTTCAGATGAGCAATCTAATTGCCAAAGTGAGACAGTAGAGGATTGAACACCAGACATTAACTTTCAAATTACTGGCAGCCCAAAGAAGCAGGATGTGTTGAACCAACATGGAACTGGAAATGAAGGGTGAGAGGGTCAGTTCACTCTGTTAGGAACTTAATGTCCAACGCAGAGCGAAGGAGATGAAATTCTAAAAACAATGCTCCCATCATAAGATGTGTGTGTAAAGTATGCTTTTCCATTGTAAACTGTGGACCCTAAAATAGTGTTTATGGCTGCATAATAAATGCTTTTTTTGTTCTGACAATGCTGTTCTATGTCGCTTTAAACACCTGTGGATTGCATGACTCCCAAAGAGGAGTAGGAATTGAAATTCTTTTGGATTCACTGGAATATCCACTGTGGGACTTCAGTGATGATGCAGCCAGATAGCCCTATCTTGGAGCTAGAGCTATGAGACTCACCATTGTAAAAAGCGAGGCTCAGGCCTAATATTAAAAATAGGGCTAACAAACTATTAAAAAAATGTATTGTGGCTCCTCTGCCCTGCTGGGTGGCCTGGAAGCGGCAGTGACAGTGGTGGAGAGGAGCCACAGAGAAGCTCAGGCATGAGACTGGAGAGGGTGCAGGGTAGGCTGTATTTTGCCCATCCCTGGTCAAAACGGATGTGTGAGATTAACTCTTGTTACAAAAATGAATGCGTTAATTTGTTTTGCATTAATCATATATGTTAACTGCAATTAACTGACAGCCCTAATTAAAAATGGTACATTCCCAAGAAGGCTATAGGAAAAGTTGAAATCTAATTCTGTGAACTTGTAATGCATCGCATAATTTCTCTAACTGGATAATATATTTAGATCAATAAATATTTGTTCCTAATATAAGGCAGGAATTTCTTTTGCATAGAAAGGCAGCAATTTTAGCTCTCAGCAGTTCCATGGTCCTATTTGAGGCAGGCATTTTCCATTGGTACCAGTGGCAGATCAAACTAATGACAACAGGATTTTTGGGGAATGTGAAACTTGATAATACATGGCTCCATTTTGTGGGGTTTGAGAGAGGCTATCTTGAGGTTGGGTAAGTATTCTAGATGACCAAGAGTTATCCTGTATAGATAGGAAGTAGGGCTGTGTGAAAGAGCATCATTCCGCTTCGACTTCTGTTTTGACAGAACACTGTTTCGCTTCAAGTTGTTTCATTTTGAAAGCACTTGTTCCATTTTGTTTCGTCAAAACTATTTTGCTGTTTCAACTTTTGCCTGCCCAGTGCCAGGAAGATCGGTGCTGCTGCTGGCCCCAGCTGGCAGCATCAACCTCCTGTCATCTGGCAGGCAGATCGGGGGGCCCGCACCCCCCGGAGGAGTTCAGCACAGCCCTGCAGCCTTCCAGGGGGTGCGAGCAGGCCCCAATCTGCCTGCCATATGACAGGAGGCTGCTGCTGCCAGCTGGGGCCAGGAAGCCTGGCTTTGATACTCAAAATGTCTTGATACTTCCTAAACATTTTGAGTACACTTGTTTCATTTCAAAGCTGTTTTGAAGGCTTTTGTTTCCTTTTGATTTTGCTGTTTTGAGCTCAAAACACATCGAAACAGCTTCAAAACCAAACACAAGGTGAAATTTTGCACAACCCTGATAGAAACATGGTTACTCATGACCAGTATACCATGATATAGTGAATTCTAAAGCACATTCTTGCTCTTAGGGTCAAATTGCCTTCAGCAAAAACTGAAGATCATATGAAGCCTTTTTCACTATGGTTCAAATAACATAGTGACTCAATAGCCTCAGTTAGATAGAGCAAGAAATATTGTTGAATGCGACTTTCCTTTTTGCAGATGTAGACACTTGACAAAGGATCTCTCTTGTTGGGCAAGATAGAAGTGTGATTCATTTATATTATTTCAGCGCTATCATGAATACTAGTACAGCTATATGAAATACAAATATCTATCTGGTAGGAGCCCTGCTTAGGATTGATGGCTGGATGTTTCTCTTCCATACTGTTTGATATTTTACATCTGGATGAGCTGTTTGTCTGAATGACAGTATAAGGTAGAACTCCCTGAATGACATAGTGCATATTAGGTTCTTTGGGTAAATCTGATATCTTTTATTAGACCAAATAAAATAGTTGGAAAAATTCTTACCAAGCTTTTGTGCACAAATGTCCTCTGTCGGGCTGAGGAAGCATCTGCAGATGGCCTGTGCTTGTCCTGGATGGAGTGGTAAAGCATCCAGGGGCCAGTACATACGTCCTTAGACCAACACGGCTACAACCTAAACCCCTGCACCAGTGCATGTTATACTTTTGTGGACTCATTGGCTCAGATACAGCTTAAAGGCCGCAACATTGCTCCTGATGACAATTTGTTTGTCTCTGCTGGTTATTGGTGTTTGGAGCCTCTCTAGTAACCCAGGTTTTTCTCATAATTTCTACTTTTATATTTCCTATCAACAGTATCATCAGCAACGTGTATGCATGCGAGAAGGAGGGGGAGAAAGAAGAAAAAGGAGGAGGCTGTCTGCCCACGTAAGTCTAATATCTTCAGGATGGTCACTCGGGGACCACCAGGACAAATTAAAAATGTTTCTGGTAAGAATTCACTTGAGGGGCTTCCTATGCCTGCCCTGCTCCTACCATTTATCATGATCTACTTTTCCAAGCAGTAGGGTAACCCTGAGAAGCATTTCTCTGTGGAGGTCTGTTGAAAGGCCTAATTCTTTTCAATGTGGATGTGTGTTGTTTATTTATGGTGCTGCTGCTGCAGCAGGCATGGGGCCTCTGCAAAGGAATACAGAGCTCTATAAGATAATAATACAGCCAGAAGCCTTTCTATGTGTTCATGTCACAAAAGGCCCTTCAGAGAGAAACAGTTTTAGTGCATAAAGAATGAAGTGTTATTTCAGAATCCAGAGATTGCAATCTTTTAACACTACAATTGAATGATTTGTTCATATTTTTTGTAATAGATTGTGCAATGCAATATGCCTCCTTGCTTGCTTAGAGACAATTTAAAATATTTAATGCTTAAAATGGAAAGATTGCACAGAGCTCATTGAAAGAGCGACATAAATACAAAAAAAACTTTCCCCTTTTTTCTATTCATTTGGTAGCTCTAAGAGATGGGGATACAAAGCTTTGAAAATGGCAGTTAGAAGGTGGGGTGGGAAAAAGTCTTGTAATGGTTAAATTCTTGACCTGAGGGATATGTTCTAATATCAGAAACCACATAGAAGAGAGAATAGAACAGAACATTTTTTGTCTCCTTCGGGGACCACTTGAACTTGCAGAATTTTTATGTTTGCATCAATAGTTCTGATATGTGGTTTTAAATCCCTTTTATTTTTTGAAAAATCTTGTTTCTGTCCAAAGGCTAGCTGTGGTCTTTTTAGCAAACTGACTGAGATTATTGATCCTAAAGGAAAAGAAGAAGAGAAAAGTCTATAAGCTATTTATTTGCAACAGAGTGGAGATACTTTCTAAATCGAGAAGTTTTATGACAATGGGCAAATCTTACTGAGTGGTCAAGAGGGTAGGTGGCTAGAAACAAGGCTTAGAATGAAAACTAATGCACAGTGGAAGATGAAACACGCAAGGTACTGAACAGAGCTGATTAGAAAATGCAACTTTTGTTCTGTGGGAAATTCTAAGCCTTATATTTGATTTCACCCTGAATCAAAACAAAAAGCCAAAATTATAATTTTTATTTGTCATGGAACACAAATTTCAAAGAACTGTGGTTTAGAAATAGTTAAAGTTGTAATATAATATGTTACTTTGGAATTATGGGTCGAAACTCTGGGTTTTTAAATAAATTGTATACTCTGGGATTTCTCTCTCAGCTCATTGGTTGAACAGCACCTTGTTGCACTGACTCTAGACCAATTCAGGCAGGCCTTGTGACTCAAGAAATGAAAATCCTCCACAATCACACACCTTCTTCTGCTCCAGTGAGGATGGAAATAAATGGCAACAGGTCCATACCTCTCACAGCATACAGTCTCTGATGGTCCAGCATAGATTTGGGCTGGGTTTATTAGGCATCAGCTAAGGCTCTACTTCCCTTCCACTTTTTTCTATGCTTTTCTACTCTTCTGTGTAAGTAGGGGGAATATCGTGTATGAGGATTCTGCCACCCCTATATAGGAAATAATGGTGTGGCTTATGGGAAGAACTGTAAATAAACTGCCTCCCCTACTCGTCTCTAGAATAATTTTCTCTATAAACCTAACCTTTTAAAACTGAACCACAGCAGGATTTTCCCTTTGGCAAGAAGCCTTGAAATGATGCACACTTTGTATTTCAACTGTGAATGTCAAGGGGACTGCTTACCATTTGCAAATGAAGTGCTTGCAAGGACATGGTTAGATGTGGCCTTCAAGCTCTCAAGTGCACAGACAGCCCAGGTATGGCTCATCACAAACTGATCTCTGTTCCCTTCAGAATTTCAGAAACTTATATAACACAGTAAAATTAGATACACACTGCCCTGTTTACCAGCTTTCAGATGAATTCACATATGTGGGGAGTGGGTCACATAATAATGTGACAAGTATATTCAGGAAAGCTAACTTTGCAGTAAAGCACTGGAAGTATAGATTTTTTTATTTTATTTTTTTTTTAGGGGCAGCCAGTTAGGCTTTTAGGTTAATTAATTGGTATCCAACCTAGGCCTTGAAAACAATATAATCTATTCACCTGACAAAAGTTACCAAAATATAGAGGACATATATAGAGGTTCCAATACAAATCTTTCCCCATTGTTGACTTGTGCATTGTCTGAGATACCACACATACACAAACACAATGATTAGTCTTTCTAATTGATGGTTAAATCAATGGAAAGACCCTGCATAGAGTTCTTTATTATTATTATTATTATTATTATTATAAAAGATTGTGCTCCTTTAAATCTCAGACTTAACATAACACGCCATATAACAAAAGCAAAGACAGGAGCCTAATTTTGCTGACACTTTATACTGGTAAATCTGACACCAGCTGAACAGCATATATCCCTCAAGACCAGACATTCTTGTCTATAAACCCAGACCCAGACCTTCTTGTCTCTACACCTCACCTCTAGAGAAATTAGCTACCTGTTGCTATGGAAGTTAACTTTTTTAACAATAACCTCAATCAATTCACCTACCTAGGTGACACAGCTATGAAATCTCTTGTGGTCATTTTACATGGATACTACCTAGATGGAGAATCGGTGGAAGAATTCTCAATGTTGACTTACTAAGGCAGGGAGGGTTTTTGCTTTTGGGGCAGATATTTTTACTTCATCTGTCAGAGTCAGTGGCTGAGTAAGAAATAGTTAGTGTTGTGGGAAGGGCAAAACACAGCTTCCATTCTTTAAATTGGATTGTTTAGGCATTGTTCTTGCACAGCTCCCCTCCTACATGGCTAGGGTATAAGCGTTTCCTCTTGTTTCACTCTACTTTAACCACTGGCCTGTGTCAGTGGCCCTCTTTTCCTCTTATGTTCACAACATATCAAACTTGTGTACATATAATAAACTATTTCCTTGCTGTTTGGTATCTCCCCATTTCTCCATTCTACATACCTATACTGGAAATGTTTTTCTTAATGTGACAGGTTTGAGAAATGAAAAAGTATGATTCAATGTAGAAAAAGCAGATAATTCCAGAGTTGGCAGCTGTTGTGGCAAAAAAACTTTGCAGTACCACAGCTTGGGGATCTGCAGTAACACTTCAAACCTCAAAAGTAGTGATGAGTCTTAAATGGATTTCTTATTCATGCTTTCTTATTTATGGTTTACTGGTCCTTATTAAGAAGCCAAAATTTAGTATTATTTTTAGAAATTTAATAAAAATTAGTGTAATTGGACATTATAGGAATTTATATTCGTTGTTATTTATTCAAATATAGAACACATTTTTGACTAGCTGCAGCTAAAAAGTCACCTCAAATAATACATCCTTGCATCGGCTAGTTTTTTCTTAAGTAGCTTGGTTATGCCTTTTTCTGGTGTGGTGTTTTATTTCTGCACAGTATATTGTCACATTTTGCAAAATGTCAGGTAATTAAAGGGAATTAGTTAGCTGTGATTAGCTTCACACCAAAAAGAAGGCAGGGTAGTTACGTACCTTTATAGACTAACTAAATAAGATTTATATAGAGCATAAGCTTTTTGTGAATTGGAGCTTACTTCATCAGACTTCAGAATCAGGCTTTGATTGACTGTGCATGCTCAGATGCTGCTCGGGTCACCCTACATGACTCACTCTTGTGACACCCTACATGACTCCCATTTTGAAGACAAGAATATGCCATCCCAATTTTATTTTCTGGGAAAATATCTATGAATATTTTACCCATGTCTCTCTCTGGCATTTTTTTGTTAGGAAATCAGAAAAAGCAGTAGAGATCAGCCAAAATCATATTCCCATTTGTTGCACATTAGTAGTGTTTAAAAAAAAAAAAAAATTGCATAGATGGTAACAAAGGTAGATGTGCATGAGGTCTTGGCTTGTTCTCAGACAAATCAATCATAGGAAAAATGGATACATTTATCAAAATGTGCTTGTCTGTGTCACAAAGAAGAATATCAATGGTTTGATAGTTCTTCTTTCATATAAAGCAGAAAAACCCCAAAACTACATGGGTACAGGTGCCTTCCAAATAACCATATTTAGTAAGAATATTCTAATATAATAAAAGGCATAGTCTGTCTGTGTATGTCCATCCATAACAGTTTTGGGCAACTGTGCATGCATTGCTTAGAGGACGGGGCATGCGTTTGGCTGCATGTGCTGGGCTGTGTAGGCCAAAGTTTGTGGTGGTGGTGAACATGCCCTAGGTGCCCAAGCAGTGGGGCTTCCCCACACTTCCCTGCCTGAGAGTGAAGAGGGGAGGAAATCACGGTGGCAGCACCCCCCCCACCGCCCAGCCCCGATTACCCCCCCCCCAATAGTCAGCAGGGAAGAGGAGGTGGCGGGCAGAGAGGGAGGGAGGCAGATGCGGAGCAGTGGAGGGGGCCAGACCTGGAGCAGCAGGGACCAGGGGGGTAGAGCATGATGGACCCAGAGCAGCGGGGGGGCGGGGTCGGGCAGTGCTGGACCTGGAGCAGTGGAGGGGAGAGTAGAGTGGGGCCAGACCCAGATCGGCGGTGGGGGAAGTAGAGCAGGGCTGGACCCAGAGTGGTGGGGGTGTGGAGCAGGGCCGGACCTGGAGCAGTGGGGCAGGGGGCGGGGCTGCTCGCCCCCTCTCCATGTCATTCTTGATGGCCAGTCTGCTAGTATAAATATAAAATACCTATCTTAATGCATATTATTGTTCTGTTTGATTTTTGATGGTTTCTAAATGATGGGGCAGAATAAGTGCCATTAGAGGCCTCACTAACTACTTAAAGGGATACTATTGTAGGTCTGTGTAACAGTTAACTATGTCACCTGCTTTCTTTACATTAGTCTGAGACTCAATAAGGCTTTATTCCTTTTCAAGGACTTTGGAAAATTCTTGTACTGTACTTAGAATATCCCTACTTTTTTGCTTTCCAATTCCAAATTTCTACATAGACATGCTAGCCTGCAGTTTGATCAAGTTTGTGGTGCTATGCCAAAATTTCATATTACCCTAATAACATATAGGTACTTGAATGGCAGTGCTTTTGCTGTAGTAAAAGTACTAATGTTATGCAAATAAATCTGATATCCTCTATTGAATTAATTAGGGGTGTCAGTCGCAGTTAACTTACATGATCAACACAAAAGCAAATTAACGTGTTAATTTTTTAAAATTGCATTAATTGTACACATCATTTTGACCAGTGGAGTGCACTAGCTCTGGACCAGCTGAAACCCATATGCATAGCCCCGGCTCTGGTCAACCCTATGCCTGCACCAGAATTGCCCGCCCATGCTGAGCAGTAGCAGCAGCTGGGCAGAAGCTGCTATTCAGCTCTGGGGGGAAAGGTGGCCTCTCTCCCTCACCGTTGCTGGGCCCTTGTTGCTGAAGCCACCAAGAGCCTGCGCCCAGGTTGCCCTGTGGCTCTTCTCTGCTGCCATCACCACTGCCTCCGGGCTGCCCAGCGGGACAGCAGTGGCAGTGCAGAGGAGCTGCAAGGCAGCCTGGGCGCAGGCTCTGGATGGCTGCAGTATGAAGGGCCTGACAGAGGTGAGGGGGAGGGACTGCTTTTCCTCTGCACTGAGCAGCAGCTTCTGCCTGGATGGTACTGCTGCTCAGTGTGGGCAGGTGAGTCTGCAGCAAGCGTGGGGTGGGGTTGGGGCTGTTCACATGGGTTTCAGTTGGCTAGGGTGAGTCTGGAGTGTGTGTGGGGTGGGTCAGGGCAGGGGCTGTATGCTGTTGGTAGTGATGGGGAAGACTGCAGGGTGCACAGGCTCTGGGCTGTTGAGTGGGAGGTGCTGCTGACTATTATTTTATTATGTGATTAAAATTGCGATTAATTGCAACTATTTTTTAAATCTCACAATTAATTGTGATTATTTTTTTTAAATCATTTGTCAGCCCTAGAATTAATTAAATGCTTACTTTTAAATACAATGTTACATTCAAGTTGCATAGAAACAGAAGTGAAGGGAGATTTTTGTGGGAGAGAAACATTTGATTCTCTGAGTGGCTAGTGATGGTTTTTGGAAAGAAACAGTTTAGTTCTTATGTAACAACAAAAATATATCTTGTTTTCTTGTAGGTCTAAATGGAACGATGAACTACCATTCAGAGGTACACAAGTTAAGGGTGAGTACAAGCATTACATGTTAACCTGTAGAATAGCTATTACATTGGTAGAAACCCTTGGTGTACAAGTGTTCAAGAAGTTTCTACTGGACCAAAAATGGCAGGCCAAATAGAATCTTCTACCAGCTCCAGTGAAGCAGAAATGGCCTCTGGTAGAGTTTCTCCTAGAGAAATGACCCCTTAGGGTGCAGGTAGAAGTGCCAATTTTTGCTTGATTTGGCCATAGAAAGCAGTCTGTAGTCTTGATCAAATGTAAGTGCATGGCTGCATACTGCTTTAAAAATGGCTGATTGGGTGAAAATCTGACCCCTCACTGGATGACCTGTGCCCTTGGCTGCTGTCAGCTGTCTCCAGGCAGACAGGGGAGCCTGGAAAGCATACTGGAGAGTGTGCAGTGGGACACCCTGCCTGGGTGCTATCACCAGTGCATTCTATCTGCAGAGTGCCCACCCGTACCATGAATACTTGTACAGGGCTCTACCAGGTATGTTTTTCTACTGGGAGAACAAAACTGGTAGAGTTCTCTCAGATCTTTTGAATGCTTTCATTCACCCTATCTCATACAGACTACCCTGTTCATTCACAACTAGCTCTGTACTTCTGCATGGCACTGCACTGTCTAAACACACCCCATGCTATTGCTGTTGTGCACAGACATTTTTGAGGAGAATTGCTGAGAGATGCTTTTAAAATTTTTTCTGTGATCTGACTTAACTGCAAGTATAATAAATAAAAGGCATGTGTCACTATTAAAGAAATGACATTTACATACCTGACAAACCATTGCACTTAGGAACATATGACTGCCTGGGTCATCAAGTCTAGCCCCTGCTATCTTATGGCACTTTGATTCTGTAATTCTAAAACAAGTAACATCAGTATTTTAACATAAACATTTACTTAATTCAGAACTGCTGCCCCTGCTATAGTAGTACAGGCAGTCCTCAGACTTACGATACAATTGGTTCCTGAAAACCACATCTTAAGTCAAAACGTTGTAACTCAGAACCAATTTTTCTCATAGAAACAGTGCTATAAATGGGGGATTGGTTCCTGAACCAAGGCCCGATACCCTATTTTCACCAAAAATAACCCAGAATTTTGTACTCAATCAATTATAGATGAGTAATATAGCTACATTAATGTGTTTATATTGTAAAATAGCGATCATATTGATTTGGAAGGACTTCTTTGAGGAGACTTTGCTGGATGTTTTGAAGGGCTCTTGGTTGGACGTTTTGAAGGGTTCTTGGCTGGATCCTTCTCAGGAGTCTTGGCTGCAGGTTTTTCGGGAGTCTTGCCTGCTTTATTAAACAAAATGTCAAAGGAAGTTTGGATGGATGTTCTCCAGGGAGATGGGATGTCTTGTTCACTGGCATGTCTTGGCATCAGATCAAGCATTATAAAGTTGAAACTGATGGCAGAAAGTTGAAACAGGGTGTCAATTTATAAACATTGTAAGTGACATTCATTGTAACTCGAAATGTCTTAAGTTGAAGACTGCCTGTAATCATTGTCGCATCTAGATTTAAACACCCCTTTGGATTTGTATTATAAAACTCTTGTGCAGACAAGAAGGTTCATGTGTAGAATGCTCACCTCACTAGCTGAGATGCATCCTTGATGGGTCTGATGCTAGGGGAAATGCTCTCTTTCATCTTCTAGGAATGAGGGAAAAGGAAATCCCAAGCAGGAGAGACTGCTTCATGCACTGACCATTCGCGTTCTTCGTGTATCTTCCTCCACCATGTGCTTATGGTAGAGGTTGCTGTTTTCCTTCTGTTCAGCAGTTACTGAGTTGGTCTGTGTTCTAACCAACAGGCAATATACTGTTACAAGTGCTGGGCATGCCTGTTACTTTTAAGAAGGGAGTAGGTTCTGGAAGGAGCTGAGTCCATTGTCAGGGGAGCACCTGACCAGAAAGAGCTTAACTGGGAGATAAGCCCAGGGCCAGACTGCTGACATGGAAGGAGCTCCTGAGCAAGCAGCAGGCAGAGGGAGACTGCAGTTCCAGGGATTATGAGGTGGGGTAGCCTTAGAGCTGAGGTAGGGTCTGGTGGTGGTTTAGGGATGGATACAAGGGGCGGTGGTGGTCTCAACAGGCCCAGGAGCAGGGAAGAGATAGGAACCAAAGAGGACTCAAGGCCAGGAGCTGGGCAGATTGAACAGTAACATCTGCAAGGCATGAGAATGGTGTTGTGGTTGCAGCCATATAATAAGTCCTTAATGTACTGAGTAGTGCCACCTGAATGACAGTATGGGATCAGGGATCCTTGAGGTAGCCTCCCTTTCCAAGGATCTAATAACAGCAAGTCATGGCAGGAGAGGTTGGGGGGAGCAAGCCTGAGAAAGGAGGGCATATTAGGGGATGGGCGGCCACCGGGGGGCATCGTGGCCAGCCCTGGGATCGGCACCTGCTACATATACCTGCTAAACAAAGTGATGTGCAGCATGGCAAGGGTTGCATCCAAAGGAAATTATATGATATGGGCAACTTGGGGGAACATAGAAGTGACCAAGTCTGATTTTTGAGGGCAGTGACTCCTTGGGCTGGTCTGCAAGCACTAGCTTGCATACTGTGTGGTCTGTGGCTCTTGGGGTGTATGTAATTGCAGGATCCATCTCCCAGGAATTTGGACTACAGTTTATTCACAAAATGGAAGGCAGGAAGGAGGGGGCAGTGACATGTGGCAACGTATGGCCCAGGAATAAAGCTTCTGGTCAGGGAGGAACATGGTCTAACTACTTCAGTGATCTCCAACAGTAACAGGGATGTATCATCTGAAAAGTATCACTTCATTCACAGACAGTTAAAACACTTTATATTTTACAAACATTAATAAATATTAATTCCTGATATGAAATCTTAACATTTTTACCTGATGACATTTCTAAAAAATGAGATTATTAAGAAATTTTGCCATTCGGATAGAGAATCAAAATGGGTGAATAAAGAATTGGCAATAAGAAACTGACTGCAGCCTCATAACTATTCACATACAGAAGCATGTGTGCAGGTTCATATTTTAAATAATATGCAAATTGAATACTACATTTTAAAATTGTTTGGTATATAAAAGTTTTAAAACTGATAATTCATTTAAGCACTCAGTTTTAAATTAGTTATTTTATGACTCCTCTCTTTAAGCACAACTCTTCTAAGTTTTTAAGTAAACAAAGCTGCACCTGACAAAAGGAAGTGGCTGGAGGTATATCTTCACAAAGCCCCTGATGATGTTCCCTTGACATGTGCTGTCCCAGTTTTATAAATTAGAAATCTGGTCATCTCAGTTTAGTCTCTAAGCAATGCCAGCTGTCTCCCCTCTCTAACGCTTCTAAGATGCTTTGAAGCTGTTTCTGTATTGTGTTGGCAACATTAGTGCAGAAAGATTTGAAGAATATAATAGCAGCAAAAGGTTACCCAGGCTCACATAATTGACTGTACCAATATAAAATATTGCCTTCTCTCTGTTTTGTAACAAAGTAGATATTGCTTTCTTTCAGATTTGAGGAGAAACAAAAGTAAGGCTAAAATGTCTTTTCTGTTAACTTTCTAAGTTAAAGGCAGCAAATCTATTGCTTTGTGCTCTTTTATGATTATGTAGTGTATTCATCCTTCTACAAAGTTTAAAATATAGTAACCTTCTACCTTAAGAGCTCAAGTATTTCCTTCCAAAAATCAGGGGGCAAATAGTTATTGGGAGGGAAGGGAGGTGGCAGGAAAACCTGTTAGTATAAAGGGAAGGGAAATGAACTTATTCTTTCGTTATTTGTATTCTGTAAAAAAATATATAGTGGCATTCATACCTTGGAGGCACAGGCTGAAAATATTGAACATTTGTTCAAAAGGGAAGTTAAACTGGGAGGCGTGGTTCCAGAAAGGACCATGGGGAAAGAGGTATTTACTGTGGCTTCCATCTTGTATATACACTATAGTAAGCATAAGATTTCATCAGGTAGGAAGGCTGATCATAAAAGAAGAAAGAGGGAGTGAGATGCAGAGGCAATTGGATATGTAGGGAGACCAGGGAACCACTATAACTGATGGCTTTTATTGGGCAAACTGGTGATGGAGCCTGCTCTAAAGGGACTTCAGGACAAATAAAGATTTAAGTGCACAATATAAAGAAATGAATGTCCTGCCCAGAAAAGTTTGAGGGGCCCCAAGGAAATGGCTCTTTCTGTCTAATTACAACAGCATACTCTTTATTTTCTTAAGTGTGTGTTTTTAAGTCAGCCTCTCTTACTGCAGACTATATCACTTGTGAAGTGTGGAAACTGGCTCTTTTTATTGTAAGAGAGAGAATAATTTGGGAAAAAAAATATGAATGATAAATTTTTGAACTGATATTAAAAGCTCAGGCACCAGTTTAGGCATTTCTTCTTCCTACATGTCATAATAAGTTTACCAATTGCATTGTAAATTGCTTGAAATAAAAAGGAAAAAAAAACGTGCACTGCAGCAATAAACTGTTAATCATATGCTAACTTGTACCCAGGGAGCTTTGCTTTTGTGAGACAAATGATTCCTGAGTTTACTGGGGTGGAGGAGGGGAGGCTCCTTTCTTCTTCTGTTTCCATCTGGTCATGAGCAGAGTGTGGGAGGATAATTATTGTGAAAATATAGAGGGAAATTATACTAGGACCTCCAGACTTGTGCACTTTTTGTCTAGCACCCATATTAGGATGTTTATTTAATTCAGGCAGGAAAACAATTCTCAAAGGAATTGAGTAAGTCTGGCTGCAATCCTCCCAATACCTATAAAAATGAGTGTGACGAGATCGACACTCTTAAACAACAGAACTTAAAGGGATGTTTCAGAAGTGCTGTTAATCAGGTATGCACTTTTCAGCTAATTATCTGGCAAGATTTAAAAAAAGAAAAGAAAACAAAACACTTTGGGGCTCATTACAAAACAGCCAATGAGGCAAAGTAAAATAAAAATGCCTCTATGTAAGGCTTCCAACCAAGCAATGAAAGCTCAGAAGAATTCTCAAAA